CGGAACTCTTTTTATTGGGAATAATACCAGAAACATAAAATAAGGACTTGAAATACCTGATCGTAAATGTTTTAACAGCTGCTAGAATTGTGTTTGCAAAAAATTGGAAAAACGAGAAAGTACCATCAGAGGAGGAAACTATTCGGAAAATAATGGAATGTGCCGAAATGAGTAAGCTTACATTTGAAATTAGAGAACGAGAGGATGAGCAATATTATAAAGTATGGGACTTGTTTTACCAATGGTTAGATAAAAAAAATCTGGGAATGAAACTGTTTACTTATGCAGTAATAGAAAGTTATAGTTATTGTTATGAAGTTAATTTTTCTTCTTGTTATGATATAGAGCACTATTCACGTGATATATAAAGGACAATAATGATCTCAATGTATAAGAGTGGGATGATTTGAACACTTTGGTATAATTGCATGTAGTGACCATTTTATATTAGATAGATCTTTGTATATGAAATGGACCAATGATGATGTAATGAACAATTGATATACATATGATTTGAAATACTTAAACACTATATGGATTAATAATTAATAATGGGAAACTATTTTTGGAACTCTGGATGATTGGTGACATTATGGTCAATTGAAAATATAGAATGTATATTATAAATTAATGGGAATTCTCTGTTCTAAAAAAGAAAAGAAAAATTGGCTTGAAGAGATTACTGCATATCAAATAGAACTAAAAACGGAACTATTTTTATTAGGAATAATTAAGGGGAAGTATGAGAAGAAAATCAAATATCTAATTCTACATATAACCACAAGAATCTCATATGCACAGAATTGGAAAAACTAACCAAAAACTAACCAACAGAAGACAATGTGATAAAAAAAATTTGGGGGGGAATGCGCCGAAATGGGACAGGCTCGCAAAAGAGCTAAAAGACAAAGAGGAATCAGAATACTACAGTATGGGACATGATAAAATTGGCTAGAAGAGAGAGAGAGAAAAACAGGATAGAGAAGAGGAAAGATTAAGAAACTACACAAGAAATACAAAACTGCAGAATCGGTTGGGCTCGTTGGCTTAAGCTTGCTTGAGTGAGCGATCCCTGCAGGCTGAGGCCTTTGGGGCTGTCTCCACACTGAAGAACATGAAAGTAGGACATTGGGGGGAAACAAGTGGAAATTTGTAAGGATTTTGCTGCCTCATCTCTGGACCACTTCTGGGGCTGGAGGACTTTCAATGACTTTCACAGAGCATCACATGCAGCCATTTCAGGGAATAACGCTTCCATCTTTATTTGCAGGGCTTCAAACTCATGCCTCGCCTCCTGTCTCTCTTGCTGGCGATTCGGGGGAAGGTCTGGACTCCCCAGAGAACCCCCAGAGAAAGTGAAGCTCGCTTGCAACCCACATGCCTCGAAGCAGATGGGTTCCCCTCGCAGCCCTTGAACTCTGTGGATGCATTTGGTAAAAGCCAGAATGGCATCATGCTCGTGACCTCGTTGGGACGCTGGTCTTCTGAGCTGAGAGAGCCACACGCCAGGAGGTTTTGTCCTCCGGGGCCCCCAGCAGCCGAGACGGCCGCAGCGAGTTTGCCTGGATGAGCAAATATGGTACCGTTAGCCTAGAAGGGGGCAGCGTTAAATGCGGATTATTCACCGGGCTGTGGGAATCCAGATTAGCCTCTGTGAGTTAAGGAGCTGCAATTAAGTGGTGCATAAACATTATTTTTCCTACAAGAAGGAACCCATCAGAGGAAGAGGCAATGCTCAAGAGGGACCACGTCTGTGGAAGAACGTGGTTGCAACCGGCTGGCCAAGAGGTGCCAGGGTTATGTGGACACTCGCCAACCTTCATCCAAGAAGAGGACAAGGGTTTTCCCCTCTCCTTCAGAGAAAGAGAAGGACAGGAACCCCCTGGAAAGAGGGCCATAAAAACTAGGAACGAACTTGGGAAGATTGAATCTGCAAGGCCTTACCTCCGGAAAAACAGGCGCTTCCTTGCCCAGGGAGGCTCCCTTGAGGGAAAGGGGCCCATTTACCCTGGGCCCAGGTCCTGCGGCCCCTCAAAGAGCTAGCAGGGCAGACAGGATGTCATCTTTTCTCTTGGATCTTTAGCCTGCCACACTTTCTATGATTCCACTGCGCCTTTTCTATGGTGGGAAAATGGGACGGGGGAGTGTATCGAGTTAGATGAGATGTAGCCATAACAACATTCTTTCTAGAAAGCTTTTGTCTTTGCACCTCTGCACCTGACCGGAACTGGATGGGTGGAAGCTGCCAGCATGGCAGTGGGAGATTGGACCGTGGGATGGACTGGTGGGCGTGGGGGGCAAGATCTTGAACTTTCAACTGGGTGGGTGAAACCAGGAAGCTTTCGGATTCGGGTTTTCCCAGATATGCCAACATGGCTCTCTTCATAAATTGGAACTTTGAGCAATACTTTGCCTTGGACTCGGATTTAATTTTGGATACTATTTGGAACCCTGACACAGGAAGCCTCCTGG